TGTTTTCAATCATCGTTTTGTTCATTGTTAGTTGAATTCATTTGATTATTGTTACTGTTGTTAGTGGCATTTGTCTTTGTTGCATCAGTCTCGTTGTCATTCATGTTCATATTCACATTCTCATTCTGATTTTCATTAATATTGAAATTCAGTGGTTTACTTAAATTCGTAGGAATTTCGCCCACATCATCTGTTGCATTCGCTGCGACTGAGCATGACAAAATTTCAGCGCTGGCGCCGCCCATAGCGCCTTCCATTTCCAATTCAAGCTCACTAACTTGATTTGTACCAGTTAATTGTTCGCCAATAGTTGGTGGTGTTTCGTTACCGTTAACATTGTCTGATAAAGCATTTATTACTACTTCGGCTGCACCCTTTCCATTTCCATTTCCGCTCGGCACGCCACCATTGGCACCTTCGCCATTTTCAACTTTAGCCAGTTTCGGTTTGAATGTATTGTTCTCGGCATTGAGCACATAGTTTTTAAATGGATCGCCATATTTCGGGATATTATTAACGGCTGCTGTTGCTGCATTATTGCTATTAGTGGCAGCTCCGTTAACGTTTTGACGCATGCGTCTTTGCTGCGTGCTAAAGCTCGGACTTTCGGAACGTGCGCGCTGCAATTGTGGTCGCGTTGTACCATTCGCCGATTGATGGCTATGTTCATAATCACGCGAACGCCCAAATTCAAAACCATTTTGCCAATGTACATGTACATTTTCGTACGAGGGATCTTCATAGCGATGTGTAGTAGTTACATCACATCGACTGGCTTGCTCAGACTCACGCAGACGATTCAATGCCCGCGGTCGCATGTTGAGGTCGCGTCTCAGCGCCGCTGCTGCTGCAGCGCAGGGTGCATGCATCTCGGCATTGGCAGCACTGAAACGCACCAGGTCATGCGGCATCATATTGCCGAGACGTGGAGTGTAGTAAGGATTCGACATATGCGTGGCAGCAGAGGCGGCGTCACAACCGCCACAATCACGAGAAAACATAAAATTGAAATCGATCACCTATAGATGAAGAAAAATGTGCTTCAATGTTTCGCGGCCAATTACTAAAAAAAAACTCTTTCATACCTTACAATCTGGTCCCTGTCCAATCCACAATGGTAGCCACTTGTTAACCAAAAGCCATGTAGACAAGATTTTGAGATGCGATTCAAGGTGCCAGAATTGGTAGAGTCTCTGAGCTAGTCGTACTTGCCTTTGTAGTGGCCGCTTGTTGCGAAGTGCTCGAGTTGGCTGCCGCTTTTTTAGTAATTGCATTCTTGATGGATAGCGCCTTCTCCGCTGCAGCATTAGTGGCACTGTTCGAGGCGCCAGTTTTATTGGAATTCAAACCTTTTATTTTTGGTATGGCCCCTGTTTGACGATTACTTGATGAACTGGCGGCCAAATCAATACTGCCACTGCCATTACCGCTATTATTATTACTACTGCAGCTCATGGTTAATGGCCCAGCCGAAGCAGAGCGCGGCTCCCGTTCTCTGGCGTTGTTTGGAAGAACTTGCGTATTAAGAAATAAAGTTCAGTACTATTATATTCAACAATTGATAAGCCAAAAAAAAAGACCATCTCACCACCATTGAATTGCATGGGTATTTGTTGTCCGGCGGCGGCTGCAGATGTTGTTGCCATGCCACTTCCAATACCTACAGAAGCGCGATATATATTGCTCATACTTTGTGCATTTTCTCCTTGCAGACAGCTAAAGAATGATGAGGCGCTATTCTTAACATTACTCGCATCCTTTTGATTGCCGGTTGTTATAATATTCGCTGTTGCCGAAGGGCTATTTGCTACTGGGGGCGTAGCGGTGCAAGCACCATTTATTACAGGCGCATTAGCAACAGATGCGCTGGTATTTAAGCGGATGTGACCAACAGTGCCGAATTGCGAGTGCCCAAGAACGGCATAATGTCCACCAAGATTGTAGTGATCGATATTGCCACAAGAAGAGCTCAAATGACGCTCGATTCGTCCAATGCCATGGCCGATGACATCCAAACGACCATAGACACGTGCTCCACTACCTGTATTTCGATAGATTGGCTCATCGCGAATCTGTTCATAAATATTTTCATAACGCATGCTGGGTTGGTAATTGAAATTGTAGTAATTGTGCGATTCGGTGTCATCGAAACTACGTTGTCGTTGACAGTTGTTGTTGCTGCCATATAGAGGAGCAGCGTTGGCTGCAGTGGCACGTGATGGGTTGAAACGATTGGCTTAGGGGAGAATAAAAATTCTTTAATAGGAATATTTAAATAGCTTTCTATTTTTTACCTCCTTGCAAGTCAATATGAAAATTGCGACGAAAACCCAAACCGGAGCGCACGGCACGCGGCACATCATAAGCTGGTGATGTCGTGTTTGTGCGATCATAAAGATCATTTCTATAACTTATATTTGGTAAAATCCTTTGCTGGTTATTGTTGACATTGTTAAGATTATTAATGTTAGGTTGTATGGCGTTAACATCTGCTTGAGGCAATTCATCAGCAGGGGCAACAGCATTGACACCAGCGCCAGCACCAGCAGCAGGAGGAGCGGCAGCGGCAGCGGCAGCCGCAGCATTATATTGCTCAAGGGATTCATAGATGTTTTCATAGTGTGGATGATTTTGTTGTAGTTGTTGTTGAGAAGCATTGTTATTAACATTGTTGTTTAGATTGATATGTGCATCGTTACGTGAGTAACCAACAGCACCTTCGACATTGCTGCCCTCAGCTTGACTGTTTTCATCATCTATGTTTCCACCGGCTGCTGAATTCGCATGGCTAAAAATATATATATATAATTCATGGTTGAGCACAATGTTTTACTTCGCAATATGAAAAATAAATGAGGATATACCGTGCCATTGCACCCTGCTCTTCCATTCACATGGNCGCATGGCTAAAAATATATATATATAATTCATGGTTGAGCACAATGTGAAATATAAATGAGGATATACCGTGCCATTGCACCCTGCTCTTCCATTCACATGGGCTTATCTATCATACATACACCCGCGTAGCTGCGACCGATAGTCATCGAAGCAGGCAATATGCGCCAGGTGTCAGTCTCGGGGCAGTATACCTAAAATCAAAACAATTAAAAAATTTAATATGATCAATAACACTTCATTTACTACATTTATATGCTTTCCTATTCACATACCTCGACAGAACCTAAATTGGAAGTACCATCATCACCGCCAACCACAAACAATACACCATCATGTGCCACAACGCCNTATTTATATGCTTTTTAATATGCTTTCCTATTCACATACCTCGACAGAACCTAAATTGGAAGTGCCATCATCACCGCCAACCACAAACAATACACCATCATGTGCCACAACGCCAGCATTGCGACGGCAGAATGCCATATCAGCCACAGCATGCCATTGATTTGTCTCAGGATCATAAGCTTCTACCGATTTGCGCACCATGGGCCCATCATGACCGCCCACAGCATATAGTATATTATTAAGCACACCAACACCAGCGCCAGAACGACGTGCAGACATATCGGCTACTGGGCACCAAATATCTGTGTCAGGATTATAACGTTCCACGGATGATAAGCATTGGCGTGAAAAACCGTCATAGCCGCCAACGGCGTAAAGTAAGCCATTGACAACACCAACACCTACAGAGCTACGTCGAGTAGACATAGATGCGATAAGACGCCAGAGTTCAGCCTTGGGATCAAATACTTCCGCACTGCTGAGACCTGTGGTGCCATCAAAACCACCGACAGCATAAATACAACCGTGCAACACGGCGACACCAAGTGTTGAGCGTCGTGCCTCCATGCTGTTGCAAGTGACCCATTGATCGGTAGCGGGATCATAAACATCGACTGTGCGCACACGCAATGAACCATTAAAGCCGCCAACAGCGTAAACTTTATCGCCTAGTACAGCTAAACCGGCACTACATTCGGGTAAAAGTAAGCAGTGGTTGAAAATATAACAGCTATAATTTATTTTTCATAGTTGCAAAAACCCTTACCGACAGCGCCTATTCGGCATTTCGGCTGCCTGATACCACTTCTCTTCGCGTAAATCGTAACATTCTACCGAACGTATTGCTTTGGGTGCTTGTCCACCTATTACTAAGAGTATTTTCGGCAAACCAACTGGCTTTCGTGGAATGGTACGTGCAGATTTGGTGTCATTCGGTAGTAGATGATAAGTCAAAGCTTCAATTATCAAATTTTTGCATACGATATTCCCATCTAACAATGGCTCCTTATCCACGCGTTGAGTTATGTATTCTTTGGAGAGAAATGGCAACCGTACATGTTCCATTAAAATTGCGGTATATTGCTCTCGCATAGTCGGATCATAACGTATCCATGATATGACACATTCGTATACTTTTTCTTCACTTGGAACACAAATGCGATCGTTGCATATTAAACTAGTCACTTGTTCGTGATTCAAATTGAGAAATTCATCGAATTGAATTACTTCACTGTAAAGTGCAAATAATTTAGTTCAGTAAACATTAACATAGTTTTATATTATACTACACACTTGAAGTGTTGTTCTATATAAGTGTCTGCATAGTTCAGTAAGTCGACACAGCCGTGAATATCTGCGAATTCCCGTATACCCAAACAATTGCTGGCATCCAATTGTGTTTGTAAATAATCGCAACATGCTTCACGTACATCGGTTAGCTGCAGCAAATTTGCAGCGGGTAATAACACCTGCACATTATCCTCATTAACTTCCACTGTAGATGTATAAACGTATTCAATGAGCAATGCAAGAGCACGATGATCAACGCCTTGTAGTGTTATGCGGCCCTGCCGTGACTCCTCAAAGCCAGTGAACATGGCATAAAAGTAGGGACTACAGGAGGCAAGTACCATTTTGTGTGCAGGAATTTCAATATCATCGGCCACCAAAGTTACATCGCAGAGTAAGTTTTGCCTAAAATAAAAAAGTTGGTTAGGCAATTAGTGGATTTTTAATGTTTTTTGCAAAGCAAAATGATTTAAAAATCCTATTGCATTTTTTGTGGTTGTTTCAAAACACGACGGGAGTTGAGAGGATCCTTATATTAAGTGATAGTCATGCGGCACTACTTTCAGAAACTTTCAGCCTTTGGGGAAAATCCCCATTGGTCCTGAAGTGTATAGAGAAGCCCAATGCCCTAGCTGAGAATATTGCTATACATCTGATAACAATTTGAAACTTTGTAGAAAAGTTCACCAAATTTTAGAACAACAATAGACTTTTTATTAAGAATTTTAAGAAAAATTTTAAGTATAGAGTTTTATAATCCATTAAATTCTAGCTTTATAAAGTACAAGTTTCAGGTGGCTAAGAGTTCGCGTTGATGTTTGATAATTTTTTTCGCCGATGTTGTTACTATTTTCTTCCATACAACAAAAAAATTGCTGATCTGTATGAAAGAAAATTCGTGACACGGTCAGCAAAAAAAAAAGATGTATTAAAAATCCTCACGAATCCTCCAGTTGAAACTTTCTCTTAATTATGCTAGAATTTAATGGGCTATTTCATAGATACTAAGAATTTGTCTAATAATCCTTAGTAAAAACTTTGTTATTTATGTAAAATTTAGGTCAATTTTCTACAAAGTTTGAAATTTAGGCTAATATGGTTTCTGTTAGATAATGAATTGAATTTTTATAAAAAAATAATAAACATTTTTGTATTTTTTTTTTTTAATTTCAGACTTTGTGCAAAAATTATGAAAATTCTGCAAAGTTTGACCCAAATTTCTAACTTCCTAATCAGCAACTTTAGACAAAATTTTGGTATGCAGTTTTCTAGCCCATTAATTTTTAGAAGTGCAAATTACAACTTACCGTGGATTTTTGGCATTGTTTTTTAGTTGACCGTGTTCCGCATTCTTTTCATACAATTATAAAAAAATATAATTATATATCGAGCCCTAACCGCCAAAATAACGTAAGCGACATTTTTTTTTCAAAATTTTCTTTTTGATGCAGAAATATTCCTAGAGCATATATGTAGATGCATTTCTGCATCAAAAAGAAATTTTTGAAAAAAATGTCGCTTACGTTATTTTGGCGGTTAGGGCTCGATATTNGCCAAAAATCAACGCTAAGTCCTAGGTACAAAAACTACAAAACTGTGTACAAAAATTTTGTCTAGATATGCTCAGTAACAAGTTAGAAATTGGGTCAAACTTTGCAAAATTTTCATAATTTTTGCACTTATCCTGAAATTTCGATCTACATCGTGTTTGCTAAGTAATCAACTATACGTTCATATAAAAATAATAAACATTGAATAAACAAAAGAAAAGAAGCTAAAACTTGCTAAAATGTCGCGTCCTTGAAATACAAAAAGCAGCAACAAACTAGTAATCCAAAATTCACTTTTTGATTGATAAGGATGCAATTCATCGAATTATAAGCCCCGACATCGTTTTGTGCAATAAACGATTTTAGTTAGTTACGTTTTTTTTTTTGCGTTTCAGCGACGATGTGAGATAGAGCCTTTATATATTAAGGCAACAATATGTATGTAGGTATGTACATATTTCTGGTTAAAGCCTATGCATCAGTATCATTCGCAAAATTTGTTTGAGGAATATTTGATGTTGTAACGATAAAATCAAATCGTACAATTTCGCAGTGAGTGGAAAGCACGTTAAATAAGCAGCTTCTCTAATTTTCTAAGAGGAATAATTTACATATATTTTAATTTAAATACGGAACATATTCTTGCGAATTTAATAAAACCATACTTATCATACCATATAATCTCGTGTATTTTTAAACTGACTTAAGAAATATGCTATCAATACGGTCTTTAAGCGACTTAAAAAAAAGTAGGTTATCAACTTGTAGGAATATTTATTTTTATGTACATTTTCGCTGAAATGCAAAAAAGCTGTAGATAACTAACTAAACTTTCAAGTTAAGAAATATTTTGCTGTCGTATAGGGTATTTTGTCATAATTATAAACAGCAAGTGGCAAAAATAAAACACGATGTATTCTCGTTACGGGGCAGAAGCCAAGTTCAAGGTAGTATCAAGTTTGCATACGAAAGCGTCAATAATTATTTTTTACCGACTAATCAAATATTAAATTTAACCTGAGTGAGGTTTATAACACTCTGGAGCTTGCGCGTGGTAAAAAACCGCAGAGTAAATACTCACATGCATATATCTATGGTCATAAACAATAACAACCTTAGTCGACTTAAGAAAGAATTGAGTTATATATGCTATCGTATTCTGCAACTACTATTCGATGTGTATGTGAAATCCCCATCTCGCCAGCTAGGCTATTTAAAAAGTTATAGACGAACATATTTTGGTTTTCCCATAAGATTAATATTACAATCCAAATGATTAAAACGTTTCTTCTCGAATTCGGGGTTTTCGACTTAGGCGGTTATTGCTTATGGCCACAGATATATATACACATGTATGTATGTGCATACATTTCAAGTTATCTGCGCTGTATGAAATGATAGGCGTCGCCACTGTGCTTATCACTAAAAATATTGTTTACTATATAGTACATATGTATGTACATAATTCCTATTTGATAATGTTTGCTCATTGCAAGCTTAGTGCTTCTAAACACTTTTACTATTGTAGAAGCATGATGTTACATACAAAACAAGTTTTGCATGGCCTGTAGTGTACACGCATGTACATATGCACATACATATGTTGTTCAAACTAGCAAGTTAAGGAAATGAAAAGTTAACGTATTCAAACAAAAACCACAAGTACATACTTGTAACGCGCAATTGAGTATTTGTTTGTTTGCATAGGCATGCTAAGCGCGTACAACAGCTGCTACTAATTGTTAGCGGCGACAAATGCCGCCGGTATTACATCTTATGAACGACACTAGACGTTTTGTGTTTGCCAATTAACCAAAATCGCAAGGGAATTTAAATTGAAAATATAAATAATGCATATTGTATACATATACATATATGTATGGATGAATATTTTTTTGGCAAGGTTGTCTGCTATGAATATTAAAATATGCACAATTTGAGATATTCAAAGTATATTTTATTTTTTGCACTTACTTGCGCATTTCGTTCATGGCCTCGAATGAGCGTGTGGTATGTTGTTCATTATGATACTGGCCAACGGTGCGATCTTTGCCATTTGGGCGCTGAATATGCTTCTGGGAGCTCTCATCCAAAGAATTTTGACTTGCATAGCGTAGCAGGCAGCTATGGTTATACAATTAATAGTTATTAAAATCATACGTACGAAAATTTTAATATGCATTAAAAATGTGTAGATACATACACATACATATGTATATGTTTGTGCGCCGAAAAAACTAGTAAATGAAAGTTGTTAAACAACACCTTACCTGCCGCGCTCCATGCTACCTTCGGCTGCGGGATTTTGTATACCATTGCCATTGTTGCTGCCAACACCGCCGCCCACTCCGTGCCCACCAGCACTAGCACCTGAACCTGCTCCACCCGTTGGCTGATTGTGTCCCAAGTTGCTCATGATGCCCAGCGTGTATTTGGTCAGCAGTGCACTCAACGATATCATGCACTAGACACTTGCACTTAATTCCACTTGCTAGTGGGCCGCAAAAGCGGATTTTTATTA